AATATCTATACGATTTTTAATATATTATTATTGTTTAAAATTCATTTAAATCATAATTTTTTTAATAATATATACCAAGAATTGATTAAATATACTATTCTAAATCCTAATAAAATTAGGTTTAAATATTTTTTACAAATTTTGATTTAGTCCAAGTTAAAAAATCTTTCTTTTCTTTTGGTCCGTAGTAAATAAGTGCATTTTAATTTAATCACTATAGAGTATTTCTCTCTTATTTTAATCCTTTCAAAATTTAAAATCGTTATTTTTAATCATAATATTATTTTATGAATCTTAATTTTATTATTTAAATATATGAAATGTTAACATTATTTACAAACGCTAATTGATGCAACTTAGGATGATTAATTTCGTTCAACATATCTACAATAAACGAATGTGACATGATACTAAGGGACAAAATCAGTGAGTTCAATTTTAAAGAAATCAACAACAAAGAAAAAAATTGAAACCAAAATTAAAACTCGTTCATTTTACAAATATAAAAAAATATTTAATCCTAAAAGTTATATATAATGTATTTGTTGTTCTAAAATTTGACAGGAGTCCGATGTAAAAAAAAAAAAAAAACTCTTACATTTTATAAAATTTTATATGATTTTTGAAATATGAACTGGCGTAAAAAAAGAAAGATCCAAAATCTCTTACCAAATACAAAGGCTTACAATCTTGTGTCTGGACTGAGCACCCACTGCAGTACGCAACACTACAGAAGAGAAATAAAGATGGAGACAAGGTGACAATCTCATCACTACTCACCAGACCCCCCACCCAACTTCAACGCACCGTCTGATGGGCAACACCCCCACCACTTGTCATTCATTCTGTATCTCCTCAATCATTTCAACTCCCCCTCTTTCCTTCCTTCTCCAAATGTCAACTCTTCTACTCCATCGTTTCTCTCATCTATGAATTATGTTACCTTACAAACAATCATTAATCTTAATCATTGCTACTCTTATTCATCACCTACTTAAACCTATTAATGGTTTTCATTCAATTAAGAAATATATATATATATATATATATATATATATATAATTTTAATAATAAGAGTGAATTTATTATTATTATTATTTCTTTTAATAAAATAATAATTAGATTAAAAAAGTAAATAATAAAAATAAAAAACAAATTTCTAACTTTTTTTAATAATACTGGACTATCTTTCTTTATTATCATCATGGTGTTGCTTTCGTCTTTTTTTTGTCCTTTTCATTATCTTTTATTTTTTTATTCGGATAAAATTTTGTTAATTTCTTTTATTATTATTATTATTATTTATTGTCAAAACTGTATATTATAGATCAGTGAGTCGATATTTAATATTAAATTCCTTATTGATATCATAATTAATTTTATAGTTGACATTTTATGATTACACTATTTCGATATTTAAATAGGATTTTATATTTCATCTGTTAACGTATTTATAATATGTCACGTGAAAAATAAATTGTATAATAATATAAATTATTAAGATGTGATAATGATTTATATACAATACTTGCTTGTATTTTTTTTATATTGCAATATAAATTCATTGTATTATTTAGAGACTTACAATATATATTAAAATATGTTTATTCAAGTGAACTTGCAATATACAATCATATAAGAGGAGTTAAATATATTAATATTTAGGACTCATGAAAATCATCTCACCTTATCTCGTATCTACTTACTAAACGAGAATAAACCATAAAAATTCTAAACTCTAAATCTTAAAAACTAAATCTGAAATAAAAATAGAACAGTTCAGCCTTAATTCAGGTAATAGCACTTTAAGCTTGTTTTCTATGTAATGATTTTCATCCATATGTACTAAAGTTGCTTCCTAACAATCTAATATTTTTCAAACCAACTTAATTAGTTGCATGAGAGAATAAATAATATCAATACAAATATAAAGCTAGATAACATGAAAGTAAATTACCTTAGTGGAACTGAATACCAATTTGAAGGTCAGGCTACAATTTGTAGCAACTGAAAATCAAACAGTGAAACAAATTATAGTTGGAAAGTTATTACTAAGTATTCTCTTTTAACATTCATGAAGCGACTGGTGTTTACTTTTTTTCTGATGGTGCCTCTATGAAAATATTGTTTTGACTAAAGATGTTATTTAAGACTTTCGGAGAAATTATTTCATCTGGAAAAATCATGGAGATGAACAACTGTTTTCTTCAAAGAGATTCCCCAAGATTACCAAATACAATATCAATATCACCAATTTCAGTTTCTCAAAATAAGCATATGAAGTATTTTTAAAATCTCAAAAATGTCACTGATCAACCAACCAAAAATCACAGTGAAAGAAAGAAAAAGAAAAATGGGATTTACTATTTTCCCAAAGCATGTTTTTTACCCATCATCATCACTTCCTAAAATTATAAGAAACAAAAATCCTTTAAATAGTTAAATTGTGTAGAAGTAGAGTTTTTTTTTTTTCTTTAAAAAAAGAGGAATAAAGTCGAATACAAGAAGAATAAACCTTCTTGCATTGTTAACAACTCACTAACGAATCCTAATATTCTAAATGATAATATGTTTTTGTTTTGATTTTTCTCTTCCAATCAAATTTTCTTGCTGTAATTAAATAATATAACTTTTATTTTTTTAGAAATAAATTTATGTTCCTTTACAGTCATAATTTTTTTTAAGAAACAGCTAATTTTGTGACAACATAGTCAAAATAGCCTCGTATTCTGAAATTTGAAACAAACTAATGGATTTAAAAAAAAAATACGTATGAAGATTCTAATATTAAATACTTTAGGAATTATTTAAAAAAATAAATAATTGAAATTAGTTTATGTTCTTTTACAATCATAAAATATATTTTTTAAAGGAAACTTATAATGTTAAAATATTCAAAATAACCTATTGTTTGAAAATTTGAAACAAACTGTACATTGTTTAAAATGATTATTTATGCGATTTATTTTTTAAAATGTTGCGACTAGAAAGTATCTTGTAAAAAATATATATGTTTTTTTCTCCCTTTAAACAACTAAAATTAGGCAATTGGAAAGAAAATATCAATCATAAATGTAGTTAAACTTAAATAAAAACAAGAAGTTTTTTTATTTTAAAAAATAAAAAGATTATTTTTTATTTTAAGACAGAGAAATTAGGCAAAATCATTAAAAATAAAAAATACTTACTTCCTTATTTATTGTTTTTAAAAATAAATTGTCCAATTTTTTAGTTTTTAAAAATTAAAAGATTTAAAAACTGATTTAATTTTTAATTTTTAAAACTGAAAATTTAAAAATTAATAAAAAATATTTACTTTTTTTATTTTTGTCAATATTATCAATATTTTTATCAATAATTATATTAAATAATTTATTGTTATCCTCAACAAATTATTAAAATTATTATTTAATTTTAGTAACAACTTTTTTCAGTAATTTATCTCATTATCTTTTATTTAAAATAATTAAAAAATATATTAGTTAATTTTTTTATTCAATAATATTTCTAAAATATAAAAATCAAATATAAGTGAAACTTATCCATATTTTATCAATGCAACAATTATATATATAATTAGCTCGGCAGAACTAAGTTAAAAGTAGTTAATATTATTTTAATTTTTTATATGTTTTTTTTTCAAATTCTTTTGTAAACTTATTTTATGTTTAAGAAAATCCTTTATTCATTTTAACTTCTAACTTTTTTAAAATTCCACTAACTATTTTTTTGTATGTGTGAAATGATAGTGAAAATGAATTAAAACAATATATTTTTTCGAGGTAGGGACCTAAATTGATTGATTAATTACAATATAAAACAAACTATACTACTCATTATTTTACACCATTTTGAAAAAGTATTATTATTCTAAGATTAATATATTAACTTATTGTATGATTATTAAAATTTACTTATTATACTAAAATAAAAATTACTTAAAATATATTTTAAACAACACAATAAGGAAATCAATATTATTTATTATAAATACTAGCTAAAACATAGAGCAATGCGCAAAACAATGCCACCTCCGTTAAAGAAAAAGTCTGGGTGAAGTTACTTTTGCAGAAAATAAGGTAAAAACTGAATACAGTGACTGTGTGAATGTGACTGTTCATCTCGATAGATAAACAAAAGAATGTTTTTATATTAAAAAGATAAAACAGAAAAATAATTTATGTACACCATAATATAAGATATTTTATTATAGATAAATAAGAAATTTTATCAAGTTAACATAATGGTAATAAAAATGTAGTAACATTAAAAACCATAAAAATAAAAAATAAAAGTTTTTAAACTACGTACAATTAAGTGTTGCACATGAGTTATCTCAGATAACCTGTGGCTTACTCATTCCGTTCTGGGATCTAAGGTATCCTAGGTAATCCTGTGTCTCCCTTTTCTTTTGTCATTATCTATGCTTTTTGTGTCTCTATGAAATGAAAGGTCCCACTCACAAATCAATGATCTCTTCCATAAATTTTTCTTTTCCCCCTTCCATGTAGAGAAAATTTTCCAATCTTCACTGTGACAATAGTTAATCTTGCCATAAGCAACATATTATACCAAGTCACAGAATTATAAACACCAAATGTTTCAATTTTTAAAACTTAAATGTACCATTTTCTTTCACTTTCTTTTGTCCCTTTGTGTTTTTCTTTTCCTTTTCCTCTTTTCCTTTTGTTCCCTCACAAAAAGAAAGTTTCTCCGAACGAAAACGTTGACTCGTTGCTTATCCTCATCCCATTAACTACTTGCAAGAATAGCAACCTACCTCCTCTTCTTCCACCAACTTTCCCTTGAAAACATTTTACCTCATAAATTCTCCATCCTACACACAATCCACTCCTTAATTTCCCTTCCTAAATTCCCCACACACATATAGTTAATTAACACACCAGCCTTCCATTTCTCGAGAAAATTCTCGGAGAAAACTATACTCTGTCGTTTCTCCCTTAACTTTCCCGGAAAGTCGCGAGCGAGTTTTCCCGGAAATGGAAGGTCGCCGGAGGATAACACTTTATGATCAAATGACAGCTGGCAACAGTAACAACAGCAGCAGCAGCCGAGACTCGCTAGCAAGCCTCATGCTCGACGACGTCGTTTTCAAGAAGACCGAAGCCGAAGCCGAAGCGAGTCGCAAAATGAGCCGAAGCCGAACTCTCCAAGACATTATTCGCGAAGAGAAACCTAACGGCGACGCGAAGGATCGCAATTCTTGGAAAGCCTTCAAGGAAAAGCTTCGGCTCAAGCGCGCCATCGGCTCGGCTTGGTCGTCCTCCGCCACTAATCACAGTAATAATAGCAATAATAACGACGACGATACTGATGGAAATTTACCTGAAACTCGCCTCGACTCGGATTCGGCGACTCAGCAGAACGACATCGTTGCGGAAGACGTAAACGCAAACGCAAACGATTCGGCTCCGATCCCGCAGCTCGGATCTCCGGCGGACAACGTGGCGACCGGAGGCGACTCCTCCGACGGGGAGAACAACCACGAGGCGGCGGTTGGCGTGTCGTTGATGGATTTGTTGGAGGAAGCGGAGCAGGAAATGGATTTGTACAGAGTGAGCGATGACGATGAGGTGGTGGAAGAATTTGAAAAGGGAGAAGAAGAGGAAGAAGAAGAAAAAAAGGGTGTGGTGGAGTATAACTGCTGCGTGTGCATGGTGCGGCATAAAGGCGCAGCGTTTATCCCGTGCGGACACACGTTCTGCAGAATGTGCTCCAGGGAGATTTGGGTGAGCAGAGGGAATTGCCCTCTCTGCAATAATTTAATTCTGGAAATTCTTGATATTTTCTAACTCGGTAATAATTTCATTCCTTCAAATTTTTTTTTCCTATGGGAAATTTCATGTTTCTTAATTGAAGTGGAAGATTTTGACAGAAATTATTACAAGATTACAAATTATGTGATTCTATAATTTTCAAATTTGTATGAAAAAGTTAGTAATTTATCAAATATCGTCTTTGGAATCACATGTTCACAAATCATGGAATAGTTTTTGGGCTTGAAGGGATAGTTAGGATGAATGAAGTAAACAATGAATTGGATAGGAAATGGGTAATGGCTTGGGGATTTTGCAATCCATTGAAGGGTGGTGATTGTACATCTTATCCAACCCTACCCAAGGGTTAGGTGGTTGGATATGCCACCCACATGTAATGTAAATGAATCAATTTTAATTTTTTATTATTTTATTTTTTAATATATATACCGTAAATATGAGGACACTTATGAATTTTCTACCATTTTTATCTTGAAGAAAGATTTGCTTACACATACCAATAGTACATCATTTTTTATATATTATAACTCATTAAATTTTCTCATATATAAGAAGATTTATCCTTTTTCGTTTTATATATTTTTTAATTAATTTCTCACAAATATACTTTAACATAATTTAAAATATATTTATGAGTTTATTTTAAATACTAATATAATATAATTTATATCTAAATAATATATATATATATATATATTTAAAATAAAATAAATTCTTTTATATTTTTTAAAATGTTTTAAGCTTAGGTAAATATTTTAAAAATTATAAATAATTTGTTTAATTAATTAGATAATATATTTTTATGATAAATATCGTATAATTTAATATTTTTAAATAGTTAGTTTCTATTTTTTTACATTTAATATACTAATAGATTAATATTTACATAATTAGTTATTTTTTATATCAATTAATATATTATGAAGTCAATGTTTATATTATTTATAATTTTTAATATATTTATTTTTGTTTAAAATAATTTAAATATAAATACATATTTATTTAGATTTATATTAAATTTATATTATTATTCAAAATAAATCTTTTAATATATTTTTAATTTTTTTTCTAAATATTAATTAATTTTTTATTCTGAATTATTTAAAAAAAATATTTAAAGAGAAAAATAAAATAAAATATAATCGAAAAAAACTATAATAATAAGAAAATATTAATAAAATATAATGAATTATTCAATTTAAAATGATTATATATAAATATCACTAATTAAGAGAGTATATCTATTAAGAAACAAGATGAAGTTTTTTTTATCCAAGAACTGATCATTTGTTAAAATTTTACTATTTAATTGTTATATATTATATATATGTTTATTTTATTTTTTTTAATTCAAACCTCTTTACTATTATGTTGACTTCAACTTACTAGTTTTATATTTATATTATACTACGTTATTAATTCATTGATAAAAAGATATTTTTATAATATTATTGTACTTTTCCAAACCTTAATATTTTAATACACTCCCTATCAAATAATGTTAATCAATGAAAACAATTAACTCATTTAATTTTGTTGAACTTTAAAGCAATGATATAATATATTAAATTTACCCCCATTATTGTTGGTCGTTTTTTTTTATTAAACTAATGAATTCATATATTTAAAGTGAAATGGTCCAACCGTTATTTATAATAATTAAATATTATTATTTTAACTTGAAAAATAACATACTATTAAATAAAATTAAATAAATATAATAGAATATTTTTGACTTTGTAATCTTAAAAATGAAATGTCATTAATGTCATCACTCTTCGTATAATAAATTTTTAAATCAGCATGAAACTAAATTAAATATGTCATAACAGTTAAATTACATAACAAATAATAATATCCATAGCAACTACATTAAATCTTTAATAATAATTATTTAACATCATAATATCCAGTTAAAACTATATTAATAATTATAATTTTGTTTTTTCTATGTAAAATAAATTATCACATGTAAATTTGTTTATCTAGTTTTGGATGGGTTCAATAAGTTTTATACTGATTCGTTGCATAACTGTTTTTAATAAAATTAAAAGAATTTGTTTAGTGACCAGTTTTCATTTCAGTCTATTCTAACAACTATATTATGTTATAATTATTTAACTTTAAATAGATATTAACAAAATAGTTTTAATTACACATTCAATATATATTAATTTTAAAATATAGATATTTATTACTGAAATTATAAATTCTTAAAGACAAATAAACGTGAAATAGACTTTTAAGGAGAGAAAAAATAAAGAAAACTCATAATGAAAGGAATAAAAAAGAAATTATATTATTATTTTCTTTTTATTCTACGTTGATATTTTTAATAAACATAATTTAAATATAATAACATTTTTATATAAACTTATATATGCATTTTAAATGTAAAAACCTATAAATTTATGTTTTATTTTAGTTTTTAGCATCACAAATATAATATTATATTTTTTAATGATTAATTATAATCTAATTATTATAATAATTTTATTAATATAGGTTTGATCCTAATTGAAACATTTTTAAATCAGTACCTTAATCAGTTCAATTTTAAATCAATACCGGATTATAGTCAATATCATGCAAGACAATATCAACATTTCTTACCACCATTCAAAAATATTTTAAAGAAATAAAAACCAAAATTCACTTATTCTATTGAACTAAATCTATAATTTCAAAATTTTTACGTTTTTAAACATAATATATATATATATATATATATATATATATATATATATATATATATATATATATATATATATATAACAACATATAAACAAGGACACTAAACTAAAATAATCTGTATATTCAATTACAAAAGCTAAGGCAAGCTTAGGGAAATTGTCATTACAGACTGTGAATGGTGGGGACTAATGATCTAAGATTCTCGTTACAGACTTAGCTCAAAACAAAATCATGAACCCCCCCCCCCGAAAGAAGAGCAATAAGATTATCTAGACCCCACTGGAAAAAGAAAAAAACACTAAGGTGGTGTAATATATGCATGTCAACAAGAAAGAAAATAATTGCAGTTTCAACTTCTATATCTGCCAGATATATTACAGAAAATGAAGTCAATCCACATCAATGGGTGAACTAAAACGTTAGTACTGAACAATTTATGCCTAACCTTTTGTTCTCATAATGGTGATGCTACCTTTCCCCCCTTCGGTGCGAATTTTTGTTTTACCAACCACAGGCTTCCCTGAGAAGGCTGACTTGGGGTAAGCAGATGGGTCATCAATACTTTGATTCGATTTGGATGGTGCCGGCGTTCGAATGCGCTGGTTTATTTCCTTCAGAGTTACATCTCCATGGGCACCACTTGGTTTGATGAAGGCAAATGGATATGCCACAGAAGAGGCCAGCTTCGTAGGGGTATGAATAAAAGATTTCCTACCTACACATGGAAAATAAGTCTCTGAATTAGTGTTTATGTCTAAAATTGTTTTCAAGGAAGTTTAAAGTAGGTACAATGTCATGTTGCTTCATGATATTCTAGTGCCCAAACTATAGGAAAGAAAACAACTTCTGTATAATCATGCTTGCTTCTCACGTCTTGTGGAAGCATATTACTATACATGCTCTTCTTGAATAAAAATGTGGTAGACAGGGAAACGCCCCAAATACTACTAAGGCAGGGTGATTGTTATGCCAAAGTTGTCAGCAAAGTCCTATAAAGGCCCAGCCAAAGGGTTATTACACAAATCTAAACCCTAAACCATTGTTAGCCGCTGGGTGCCAAGGGGTCTCCTTGAAGAGGGTATTAGCCACTTGGTGCGCCCTGAAGATGGTTGCTGACCAAGCAGGATTATGAAAATTACCCCCAGATCCTTGACCACTTGTGCTAATCCACATTGGCCTATACATGATACATATAGCATACAAGAGAGGTTATGTCAAGAGAAAAGTCAAACCTTTGATGATAATATTTCGGGTGGTGCGAGGGACATGCATTTGAACAGCATTTTGTTGACGTGGTGGTGTGATGGTACTAAGCTCTGCAGGAATAAGAAAATATTTTGAGTAAAATCCAATGCATAGGCGGAAAGAGTAAAGAATGAATGAAGAAACAAAATCAACATACAATTGGGGGTAGAAACAATGTAACCTACCTGCAACATCAATTTGAACATCATCTGCCCCAGAAAAATTCCTGAGTCACAACACATTATCGTCAGATTATATTTTATAGCGAAATATCCAAAATAAATCAATGGTCCGGAGAAGCATACAATTCATCAGGACTGAAATCCATCTCAGTATCATTGAAGTATTCCGCAAGCCACGTTTCAGTTGATTCCAGGTTCACATAATCAGATGCAGATGCATTTCCTATTGTGTAATCTATAATGATTGGGGAACATAAGAAATAAATTATGGAAAGATATCACCGAGTAAAACATAAAGCAGAATCCTGCCAAAGGTAAACCTGATGCCCCTGACATCCACTGCGACACTTCCGGAAAAATATCCTTAACCGGGTCCTCCTTTCCCTGCATATGTAATGAATTAGCAGTGATAAAAGTTAAGGAAAACCCACAAGAAAAGAATCAAAATTTGTCAATCAAGCCAACATAGAGTCTTCCCAATATTTAGGGACAATGACCAATAGGAAAAAGGAGGACTAGTGAAAAACCGAAATATAGAAACAAGATAAAAAGATTTCAAGTAAACACATCTTTAACAACAAACTCTGGTTATCACATAGGGTTAACACTCATCCCATATGTTTTAAGATAACAGTATTCTACATCAAGCCATCCTGTGCTTACAATATACATAGATTGGAAATGCGAATAAGCCCAATTTACAGCTGAATCCAGGGAAGGTGGTAACAAAACAAAATGTTAAGTCATTTTGAAATTTCATCAAGGATGAGCGACTGCAGGTCAAGGCATTGAAGATATTACATGTTCTTTTTTCAATCATGAATGAAATGTTAATATCAGCATATAATTTGATTGAGGAAAAGTTCAAATATTTGCAAGTTTATGCACAATAAGAGAAAAAAATCTGTGTTTCGCAAGTCCTTTTGATATTTTTATAACCATTCAACAAACTAGGAATGTGAAAAGTTAATCCCAACAAATGCTTAAAGCACTGACGTTTTGAAAATATGACAGAGACATCTCTTCATTGGATAGAGATTGATCACTATCTTGGCTGTTGAACTGTAGCATCCGCCGCCTCTTGACTTGCGAATAAGTCTCCCTACATTCCTCTAGTTCCTTTTGCATATTATCTGGATCTAAAAATCAACATTGTTTGAATTAGAAAACAAAAAATAGTAACAACTACAGCAATAGAGAAAAGACAACTGATCAAGTGGCACATATGGTTAAGACGATGTCAAGACCATGTTCATGCTAGAGAACCGTCTTACCACCATTATTGACATTATATGCCAAATCACCACAAGCCTTAACTGGGGTTGTTTCATCATCCAACATGTATGAAAGATCTTCTTTATTTTGAGGCACATCATTCCACATATCTTCTGAAATTTCTGCTCAAAACAACACATTTTCCTCATGCATCGGCTCAGTAGAAGTTACTTAAGTTACAGCAGAACTTACCAAAACCAGAAGTCTTTTCAAGACTATAATTCTCCCCTTGCCAATCCCATGGCTCCCTAGCACCACTGAGAATACGAGAAGGCAAATAAGTGTCATTGTTGTGATGCAACATTGGCAAAGATTAACCAACAGATGAGATAACAAGTGATGAAAAACGCAACAGAAATCCCCAATTCAAGAACCAAGTAAATGCCCATTCCATAATGCATAAGATTAACTCAGTCCCCAAACAGTGTTTGTACACATCATAATTAGTACCACAGACAAAAGGAATATTGACATCATGGAAAACTAAAGCAATTACCACTAACAAAATGTTAGAAACAGAACCATTAGTTTACATATTCGAAATCATAGCAAGTACTTAAACAGTTTTTCTTCCATCTATTGAATATATTAGCCAAGGAATAACAAATAAAGCAGAAAACAAAAGGTGCAAAAATGAAAAGAAAAAAAAAACCAACAGGAAAAAAGAGTAAAACAGATGACCCACCAATTTAATCAAACGAAGCCACATCCCTCATCCTACATTCTTTATCCATATCCCAAAAAAAATCAAACAAATCTCCAGAGAAAATCAAAACCACATACACCAGATAAAAAGAAACAACCCAATCAACTACAATCATCGTCCATCACTTATTCCAATAATCAAAACAAAATGTACCTAGCAACAGCAACACAAACACACCCAGAAGAAACTGAAAAAGGTTGTCTCCGAAAGCAAATAAATTCAGGAAAAAGAAAAACATACACCCACCGTCCAAAAACAAATCAACACAACCATAGCATAAATTCACAAATAAAGCACATGAACTACAAAACACAAAAAGAAAAAAAACAAAAACCCACAACTGCCATCACTTAAATGCACCTCCCAAACCCACCATCCAAACCAATCACAACCAAAATTAAAAGAAAGAAAATGAAAACAGATAAACAAGAAACACAAAGAGAGAGATTTACCCGTCATTGTTGTTATAATCCATCTCACCGAAGATGAACCAAACTCCCCAATCACTCACTGATCAGAGAGATAGAGCCTCAATTTTTTGTATATTTTTTTCTCTCACAACACAACCCACAAAAGTAACCGTTAAAGAGAGATCGGTTGTGCTGTGCCTTATAAACTGGAACACAAGTCAGTCCACTCTGCCTCTATGCTTGAGATGTGTGCTGTGCTGCATATATCATAACTATATATATATATATATATATATATATATATACTTTTTGACTTATTTCACAAAATCTACCATTTTAATTCCAATTTTTTTCATAATTTCAATTTCTGAATTTTTAGTTATTTATAATTTTAACCCTTCAATATTTCAATATTGAGTTATCCATAACATCGTTCAATTATTTGGAATAGTTTTTAGCATCGTTTGACATATTAAAATTTTAGAAAAAGACATGATAAGACTTTTAAATTTTATAAAAAAATTTAAAATTATGAATTTAAAAAAAATACAATAACAAAAAGTTACAATTAAATCCTTCAATGACAAAGCAAAGTCCAAAAGCATTGCCGACCCTTTCTCCCTTTCCCATATATCATAGCTTGCTTTTTTCTAATTTTCCGGTTTTATTATTATTTATTATTATTAAATGTCTTTTTACCATTAATTCATTAAAAGACAGAAAATGCAGAAAGAAAAAGGTAAAGGGGAAGAAATAATTAGATTAATCTAAACTTCTGGACATATATTTAATTTCTATAAATGGAATAATTATATTGGTTCAATCACAATAAAAATGTTTATAATTTATAAATTTCTTACTCTGTAAATTATATATATCATGATTCATGTTATGCTTTAAATATTCCATGACATTTTTTACTCCTTTTAAGGTAAGTTTAATTTGGTTATTCGGATTTAAAACTACATTTTTTAATTTCTGCAATTTGATAAAATATTTAGATTAGTCTTGTATCCAAATGTTACAAGTTATTCACATCACATCTTATTTTCATTTTACATTCTTATTGTCAGGCATTTTGCAATAAATTTTAAAATGTTTAATTATGTTTAAGAAAGAAATACATTTGGCTAAAAGGAGTAAAACAAGTTTTCAAGTTAAAATAAAATACAAAATTCAAAATAAAAATCTAATTCCTTCTCTTAAAATAAATAAACATTATATATAAATATATTTAACAATTACGCATAATTGCTTTAGTTGTGTAAATTTATAATTATATAGATAAAGAAATATATTATTCAAATTATAATTTTATCATATGTAATATGAATTTCTATACTAAATAAATTATATATAAGGAATAATAATCCGTTTAAAATATATGATAATAATTTTTAAATTTGATTATTTAAATAATTTAAAACGTGTAAGATTTTTTTAAGAAGTAGTATGGAAAAAAAGAAAAAAATATAAATTATATAAATTATTATTTTTTCTAAAAATGAAACTTTATCGTGATTACGATAATATTATTAAAATTAATTATCACATATAAAATATTATCGTTTTAAATTTTTAATTTATCACATATTTATATTAATATATATATATATATATATATATATATATAAATAAACTATTATTGATCTTTACTTTAAAATTATCTAAGAGAATAAAAAATATTTAGTTTTATAGTCTAAATTTTCTTCTTATCATTCTAAATTTCTTAAACTAATTTATTGTTAAGTGGTAAAAAGTTGATATAATTATACCTTGAATTGTTATGAAACCACTTAAATGATGTTAATTCTAATATACTTTTCTCCCAATATAGGATGAATTCAAGAATACCTTGATACAAGAGTAAGGAGCATAATTGACAGCAAAATTGGAGTAAAACTGGAAGAAGGAAGAAGATTTTCAGCATGGAAGTCGCTTGAGCGAATGTTAGTTATTCTTCTCTGGAATTCACTTGCTCAAGCGAGCCAAGATTCGCTCAAGCGCAGGAAAAATCGCTTGAGTGAATGTTAGTTATTCTTCTCTGGAGTTTATTCGCTCAAGCGAGCGTCTTGTCACTTGAGCGAAAACAGACTACTTTTGTTTGAGCGAAAGTTCTCGCTCGAGCGAAAGACGCGAAACCCAAAAGCCCAAATTTTTCCAATAAAAAGAGAAGATGTGTTTTGAGAAAATGAGGCGGTTTTGAAGGAGAAGAGGCGCGACTACTGTTAGGGTTTCGTCCAATCTTCATCAGTTCTTCACTTCTTCCACATTTAGAGCATTGTAATGACCAACATGAGTGGCTAACTTCATTCTCTTAGGATTCAGTGCACTTCCTTTGAACTCTTTTGTATCATGGTGATATTTTGAGATATTAATCTATGCTTTGATGTTGTTATTCTTATCCTTTATGCTTTAGAATGATTTATTCTTGATTGTTTGAGGTATGATTGGAAAATATATCTTGAACCCTAGATCACGGTAAAAATATTTGTTACGTTAATTGCCAGGAATGGAATGAATGTATCAATTGTTTAACACCCTAACCCTAATGCTGAAAAATCTCTTAATTGTGTGAGGAATCAACATTTATTAGATTTTCTTATGAATTTCACGTATGAGGAATCAACATGGATGATTTGAGTAGGTGACATCAACATTGTTAGGTTAATTGACGTTCTTAATTGACATATCCATTACAAAAGAGGGATAAGGAAGGAAATCAATCCTAAGTACATTTAATTGATATTTTCTCAACAATTTACCGTTCTTTGTCATTTAATTTCAATTCAACTCTTTATGTAAAACTCATTCTGTTTTAATATTCTTAGTAAGCATATAATTGGGAATTTCCATTGAAACCGTTCCTCGTGGGATCGACTTTTATTTAATTGAAATATTATACTGCGATTGATAATTTTGGTACGCTTGCCAATAATTCAATAAGTATTTATGGCACCGTTGTCGAGGAACAGTGTTCTTTGATAATTCTTTGTTTAGCTTATTGAGTATTTTATTTTTATTTCTGTCTTTTTTTATTTTTCAGTTTTATTTTTACTTAATTATTGTCTTGTGCTAATCTTTGCTTGAGTTACTCTTTTGATTTATGCGTTTAAGATGACAGGTATCTTCGAAGCGGTTAAAATTTAATCCGGAGATTGAAAAAACAGCTCGGAGGAACCGGGGTAGAGGAAGAAGAGAAACTCAAGAACAAACCACAAGAGAATCTGCTAATTCTTCTTTCACACTTGATTTACCAAACCCAATTATAGAAGATATGACGGAAGAAGGAGCAAATCTAATAAATCTGAATCCAGATCCAAATATAAATCCAAATCAAAACCCAAATTCAAATCCACCTAGAAGAACTCTTAGAAACTATGCTATGCAGCAAGGTCCAAGACACTTTTCTAGTATTGCATACCAGATGATCAAACATTGCAGATGAATCCAACTTTCTTAAGCTTAATTAGTGTTCATCAATTCACTGGACTAGATCATGAAGACCCTTACATTCATTTGTCTACTTTTTATGAGTTGATTGGTACCATGGGATTTACAGAAGCAAATCTTGAATCTGCATATTTGAGATTATTTCCTTTTTCTTTGGCAGGTAAGGCAAAGGAGTGGCTGAAAGCACATCCTAATCAGAGTTTGACTGATTGGAGTAGTGTAGAAGAGAAGTTTCTAAACAGATTTTTCCCACCATCCTGCTACATCAAAGCAAAATCCGACATCACTTCTTCTAGACAAGGAACAGATGAACATTTTTGTGAAGCATGAGAGAAATTTAAATCACTGTTGAGAAGATGCCCAAATCATGGATTTGATGACATTGCTCAGTTGAATATATTCTATACTAGGTTGCGACATGATGCAAAGATGCTATTAGAGGCTACAGCAGGAGGATCCATGTTGGATGTAGAAATTGAACATGCCACAAAAATTATTGATGCATTAGCTTTTACAGACCAACAAGCCCAACATGATAGACATCCAATTCAAAGGAAGGGAGTTCTTGAACTTAACAGCTCAGATGCTATCTTAGCCCAGAATAAAATTTTGACGCAACAAATTGAAACATTAAACCAGAAAATAGAAAAATTACATAAACAAATGTACACAATACAATCTATTCCTAATCAACAGATGAGTCGTGACTTTTGTGGAGGTGATCATGCAAATGAACAATGCTCTTATCAAGGCAACATTCAATAAGAAGAAGTTAATTATATGAGAGCCCAAGGTAGTAGTCAAGGCAGACAAGGTAATTTCCCTAATCCCAACAATTATCAGAATAATGTTGCACAAGGATGGAGAGGGAATCAGAATCAGAATTTTGGGTGGAAACAAGGTGTTAGCTCATCTACTAGGCAACCTATATTTCAACAACAGTCATATCAGCAACCTCCATATCAACAGCAACAATAACATTATCCTTCAGTGCTTGACAAAATAAGTAAATTGGAGGATACTGTAGAAAAATTCATGCAAAGTACTATGGCTAATCAGAAAAATAGTGAGGCTTCATTATGAAATATAGAGACCCAGGTAGGTCAACTGGCTAAACAATTATCTGAGCAGCAACAAGGAGGACAGTTTTCAGCTAACACACAAACCAACCCTAAGGAGCAATGCAATTCAATAACTACAAGGAGTGGAAAAATTGTAGGTAAGGGGATTGGTGACAATATAGTTGTTGAAGAAGAAGTTTTGGTAAAAGAAGATGAAGAGCAAGAAGAGGAGAATAATAAAGAAAGACATATCACTAATAAGAAGAACGAAGAGGGAGAGAAAAAATAAAAGATAGAAAAAGGAGGGAGTTAAAAAACATTTGTAGAGAAGTTACTATATCCCAACGTTCCCTCACAGATAGATAAAGAAAGACAATTCACTAGGTTTATGGATATTTTCAAGCATTTACAAATTAATATTCCATTTATGGAAGCTATGGAGTAGATGCCGACTTATGCAAAATTCATGAAAGAGTTGTTAACTAAGAAAAGGAGATTTACTATAGAAACAGTGGAGCTAGAAGCAGGATGCAGCACTATAATTCAAAAAT